GGCAGTAAATACGCAGCAGATCGTAACCATTACAGACGATATCCACGTCGTAGGGGTCCTCCACGCAACTACCAGCAAAACTACCAGAACAGTGAGAGTGGGGAAAAGAACGAAGGAGCAGAGAACATACCAGAAGGTCAAGCCCAGCAACGCCGTCCCTATCGCAGGCGGCGGTACCCACCTTACTATATGCGTAGGCCCTACGGGCGTCGTCCACAATATACCAACCCTCCCGTGCAGGGAGAGATAGTGGAGGTAACATTTGCCTGACACATGATGCTAAATGGGCTTGCTTGCTTTGGAGCAGGGTGATGGGATGCACCTTTTGACAGTTTTTGTAGGTACTCCAGATAATTTTGGTAAGGTGTGGCAGTAACATGAATCTGAAGGTCTTTATGTTACAGCTTCCTAAAACAGTGTTTCAATTTATATGCTTAATGGAGGATTTGCAATTGTGTGCACCTCTATTCTTTAGGACTGCTGCCCACTATGACTGAACTGACACCTTTCCAACTTCTTCCTCAAGTGTGATGAGCTGTGATGTTAGCACATTTCTGCTTGGGGCTGAGGGGGTCTGTGGCCTGATGTCTTGCAGGGTGCTGACAACCAGGGTGCAGGAGACGGCAGACCAGTCAGGCAAAACATGTACCGGGGTTACAGACCAAGATTTCGCAGGTATGCTGCACATCAGCTGCTGGTTTTAGCCTTGTTCAGCAACAGAGCCAGGACATGGCAATGCTCAGGTGCTGCATGGTTAAAGCCTAGCTTGACTTTCAGGGGTCCTCCTCGTCAAAGACAGCCTAGAGAGGATGGGAATGAAGAAGATAAAGAGAACCAAGGGGATGAAACCCAAAGTCAGCAGCCACCTCAACGTCGGTACCGCCGTAACTTCAACTACCGACGCAGACGCCCAGAGAACCCTAAACCACAAGATGGCAAAGAGACGAAGACAGCCGAACCACCAGCTGAGAACACGTCCGCTCCCGAGGCTGAGCAGGGCGGGGCTGAGTAAATACCGGCTTAACATCTCTACCATCATCCGGGTGCGTGACCAGGGGCCTGGGGATGCTGTTTGCTGACTTTTTTCTTTTGCTGCTTTCTTGTAATTTGTGCTTTACAAGGTTTGGACTCTTCTTGCCCATGCATGCTGTAACTCATCTGTGAGTGCCTGCAGAATGGAACTGTGARGCTTTGTTGTGTCAGTGCTGACTAGTTTGGAGGACTTAGTTACTATCTTTAATTGCCATTGATGGAATACTGTTACACTTTAAATCTTGCCTGTGTTCCCTAGTTCAGGGTTACAGCAGTCTCTGCTCACCCAGAGATTGAAGTAGAACAAGTGTAAAGACTTAAAAGTAGTTAGGAGAAGCACGTGCTGGGATTTACCAAGCTCCATCAATGCCYGAGTCCCCACAGGGAGGTGGATGGCACTGAGACCTTGGCATCCAGGTCTGCAAAGTTGATGCAGAATTAGGAGTGTCTCAGGAGCCGCTTTTTATCTTAATCAAAGTGCTGGAAAAAACTAGAAGTGGTGCTTTTGTCAGAGCATGTGGGAGCTGTAGTTGCAGTGCTGAGGTATGTGCTTGGGWGGGTTGTGTGCAGGGCAGGGGCCAAAGGCTGGGTTAGTTGTGAGGGAACCTGGCTGTGTTTGGGGTTTGTTTGGTGATGATTTCTGAGGGACAGTTCTGCTGATACAGGAGTATTTTCACTGCTRGGATTCTACTTGTTCTGCATTGCCTCTCACCCATGTGTGTATCCTATTCCTTTTGTCCCTTGCTSATTACCTGGAGGGCAAGAAAGTGGAAGAGGCATTTAGGCTGTGSTGGGAGCAGACTGAGTGGTCCCATTGATGGGATGGACAGGGGCCRCAGGAGTTGGGCTGGGAGAACAGCTCGGTATCAGCAGCAGCTGCAGCATCTCAGCTTTGGGAGCTTGGGGACTCGCTCTGCATGGGCTCAAGTGAACTTCATATTTCACTTGCAGATGGATCGTTCAGTCCCTGTCCAGGCCTTGCTGCAGTGAATATTTGTTGTATCCTGGTATTCATCTTGATGGTCAACACCTCCTGGTTGAATTCTTAAATCATAGGCTTCAAAAGGATACCGCAATGGCACCTTGGTTCCTCGGGTGTCTCGAGCATTTGAGAATATTGGGTTTAGTTTCTGTGCTCTGGGCAGTGGCCAAATGTCAGCAGAGCCYTGTGGAAGCAGCCCTCCCCATGACTGGAGGAGTCCCTTTGGGTTTAAATTGATGGCTGCTCTCTCGAGTCCATGGCATTGGTCCTGCAGGAAGGTGGCTGGTGTGGTTGCTAGGGGGGGCTGACAAAGAACAGTAGCTGGTGAGGGTTGTCCTGTGAACTGACAGGCAGCTTAAGGTGAATTTTTGATTTGCAGGTGAGTCTTGGTACACAAAGCACCCCTATAACCCTCTTGTCCCGTGCCTGATCAGCCTTTTCTTTTTCTTTTTCAGTTTAGTCATCAAAGAAAAGACTTTAAGAAATGAAGAAGAAAATGAAATTCCAGCAATAAGAAATGAACAAAAGAATTGGAACTGAAGACCTTAAGTGCTTGCTTTTTGCTGTTGACCAGATTACTAGAACTATCTGCATTATCTATGCAGCATGGGGTTTTTATTATTTTTACCTAAAGAATTCTCTTTTTGGAAATGATAAACACGTTTTTTAAAAGCCTGTTTTTTCTCAATATACCTTTAAAAGTTTGTAAATTGTTTCATATCTGGTCAAGTTGAGATTTTTAAGAACCTCATTTTTAATTTGTATGGAATATACGCCTGATTTTTTCAAGTCAAACTGCAAGCATCTGTTAATAAAGGTCTTAAAGAGTTACCATGTGTGCTTGGGGTGTTTTAAACCCACTTTTGCATGAAAGGGTTTCAAGTTAAATATTCATAGAAGGTTTGGGGAAAAAATTACTGCCTTACTCTTTAGGCATACAGGCTCGTAGGGTAAAACACAGAAAAATGAAAGTACAAAAGCCAATGAAGATGCAGTTGTGTCACACTGGAGAAGGAGGGGCAGGCACAGAGGGATGGGAGTGTCTGCTAGTAGCCCACTGCGTTTCCAAGAGCTGTTTGTGGAGCAGCTTGGTGGGGCCCTTGCTGGACTACAGCAYTTGCAGAGCTGAGGTGCTGTGAGGGTGCTTAAAAAAAAMCAAAAAACCCCAAAAATGATAGAATCCCAGACTGGTTTAGGTTGAAGGAACYTTAAAGCTCAYCTCATCCCATACTCGGGTGAGGGGCAGGGACACCTTCCACTGTCCCASGTTGCTCCRTGCCCTGTCCAGCCTGRCATGAACACTTCAGGGGTGGGGCAGCCAYGGCTYTTCTGGGCAACTTGTGCCAGGTTCTGAACTCATCCCAGGGGGGCTGTAGCACAATTGCCCATGAGTGTGCTGCAGAGCCACCTGTTCAGAGAACAGGGGTGCAGAAGCGTGGAGAACTGTGCCTTATGCTAAAAGTGGCTCTGGCTGTGTCCCAGTGCCATGGTGAGAGCCTGCTGAGGACATGCTGCCCCCTCAGCACTGGACTCACCCTTGTCTCAGCCCAGCCATGCCATGCTCTGATCACACCCTTAGAGCCACTGCAGAACACCTGCAGGAGGGGGTGGCTGTCCAAGGGCAGCTTTTGGGACCTTTCTACATACGAGTGAGCTCTGKGCTCTTAATCATTTTCCTGTAGGCACCAGTGTCCCAACCATCCCATGTGTCCCAACAGTCCGAGTGCTCCAGGCTTTGCTCTCTTCAAGCACTTTGTAATGCTCCCACACTGCCCATCCCCTGGCTGTGCCATCTGTGAGCATCCTGTCCTCCAGACACTGCTGTCTGATAGCAAAATCTCATCTCTGCTCCTTATTCCTGTCACTTGGTTCAGATTTCCTCCTTTCCCAGATCCCTGGGTTACTGCTGATGACAGGGTCAGATTGGCCCTGGACATGCCATCTAGCAAAAGCATGAGAATCTGCAATAAACAACAGCTTTGCTGCCTTTTGGCTTTATGTGAGGGTGCAGATGGCTCGAGAGGACCCTTGGCAGCTCCTCTGGGTTTCAGATGCTGGGGCTTTGCAGTCTGGCTGGGCTGCAGGAGTGAGACTGTGAATCTCTTCACACCTGTATGTTTTGGGCACTGCAGCATCACCTGCACAGGCCTGGGGCCCGACCTGCTGCCTGCCTTTCCAGGTGACAGTGCTGGGGAGATTCTCCTTGGCTTCCCTGTGCTGCGATGGTGTCTGTGTCTTGTGCTTGGGGTGAGAAGTTAGGGAATGAGACCAAAACCAGAATTCAGTAATTGAGGATGGTGGGGATTGAGTTGGTGGTGGCTTCAGGTTCTGGCTTGTTTATATAATGGTTTGCAAGTGCAGAAACAGAATTCCCATTTTGTGTGAACTTAAAAACTTCACTGCAGGTGGAGCACCTCCATGAGGGTTCAGACTGACTCTCCTTGTGTCTGGTGTGTGTGGCTTTGGTGTTCCTTGATGATCCCCCCCCTTGATGATGAAAACACTCATAACTGAAGCGTTCCTTGTTTTACCCAGTTTTTGAGCACAAATCCTGTGCTACCCTGTGTCCAAGCCCAGGGAAGGTTTCCAGTGGGGCTGGTGTGGGAGGGACCAGGGCTACCAGCCACATGGAGTCAGTGTTGCTCTGTGCAGAAAAGATTTGCTGCTGAAAAGTACGGGCGTTGCAATGTCAGAGTAGCTACTCTGCCCCCAGTGTCCTGACAGCTTTCCCGTGGAACGGGGGCATCTTTTCTTAAAGAAACACTTCTCGGGGATTTACTTTCATGAAACCTGGCTGGAAGTGGGGAAAATACCCTTCCCTGGCTGACTGCTGCAGTACCTTCACTTTTAGCAGCCATCTGGCTGTATGGAATCCTGGAAGCAGCTGCAGAAATGTCTCAGTAGAGTTACTGATGCTTTAATGGGTCTCAGACTGGCAGGGAGAGCACCCCACATTGGGGCTGGGTGCAGGAGGTGCCAGTGGCCATCACACACGGGAATCCATGGCGTACATCTTGCTGGTGGCTGTTCGGCCCCGCGGCTGGAGATGCCTCTGGGGCTGGCAGCGGCTGCTGGGGGCTGCCAGGAAAGAGTTGGGGTTGTGTCATGGCCAGCAGTTGCAGGGTGACTTGTGGCTGCCACAGCATGGGGACATGGCAGGAAAAGTGAACCTGGACAGCCAGCAGGGTTAATTTACATCCCATGGGACCAGGCATAAGGATTGGACATTTCTGGGGAGGCATCACCTGCCCAATGTCCCTGATGCTGGGGCTGGATTTCAACCAGCACATCCCTGCAGCCACTGGCTCAGGTTTTGGCTGATGACAGGGATTCAGCTYCAGCACAGCTACTGCTTTGAGTAAACATCTCTGAACATCATCTTTGAAACACACCTTCACCAGGACTTGGAGGCCCACAGATATGGATGCACCCTCTCCATGCCCTTACAGGGTTATTTATGCGCCCCTCATCAGCCCTGTTCTGCCTTACATCACCTCCCCAGTCAAGGGAACAGGCCAGGCACAAAGGGGCTCCCCTTGGTTGGGCTGGACTCTGCAAGAAGCCCCTGTACTGCTGAGCTTATCCTTCACCCCATATCCCTGCAGGGCAAAAAGCTATTTGAGATAGGATGATAGGGGTGGAATGAGGCAGACTGACCTGTGCAGGCATAGAGGCAGCAGGTCAGCAGGACAGATGCCACAAAGCAGCCAGTGGAGCCAGCCATCCCCAGCCAGCACGACCACCCAAAGTCGTAGTGGACTCCCAGGAATATATTGTGTGACACCAACATGGCCCTCTCCACGTAGACATCCACTGCATACCACATGGAGCCTATGAGTCCCAGGATGCCTAGGAGGAATGGGGCTTGTTAAAAAATGATAAAATGATACAACCCACCATACTCCCCAAGGCCCAGCTGAGGGGGTGCTGCTAGCTCCTGCACCCCAGCTCCCTGTGGGACATGAGGTCTGTCTGCTCCTAAGCTCTCCCCRCCACGCACTCCCAGCACCAAGTATGACTCCAGCTCCATAGCACATCTTCAGCTTGACACAAGGRTCTTCCTTGAGGAAAGTGATGCAGTCGAGCCCGAGGATCAGCACAGCCAAAGCCAGGCCAGCCAGGAGATCTGCTGTGATCATCAGGGTCCGTGTCACCACGATCTTCACTGGGCAGGGAAATTAAAAACAACCAGAAATGGAAATGAGGAATAATCAATGGAACAGGTCTCTCCACTCCAGATTTCTACCCACGTTCCTATTAGAGTCATCCAGCTCACCAGTGGCCATCACACTGGAACCCACCAACCCCATYTCTGCCATTGGCCAAGGGAAGGTGCTCAACAAGCTCATCAGAAACTTAAGGAYTTAAACCCATGATTAGACCAGCTCAAGAAACCAAACAACTCAAGGTATACCCATCAGCAACCCATCAGGTATGTGGTCACCTGCTCAAGACATTCTTGAGCAGACACCACTGCTGTCCGCAGTTTCTTCCTCCAAGTTGTGTAGAAAGTGTTTTGAACAGCAAATRTCAATATACTAGTGAAAAAGAGCTGGCATGGATCACATCACCAKCTGGGATGTGACTGTGCCCTGCAAAGCTTCCTCCTCCCTAGAGCAAGGTGATAGCACCACTTAGTCCATACTGACTACTTYCCTTCTCCACTGCCTGAATCTGTGTTGTTCCATGTCATGACCCAACGCAAGGGTTCTCTGTGCAGTGTTTGGTGTGCCCTGTGCAGGCCAGAAGAACTGTCCCTAYCCTGATGTGACTGTCCCTGAGCAGTGGGCATGAGTCCTTGGCCAGTGACAACAGTCTCTCTGCTTGCAGCATGGTGGATTGCTGACCTCAGGCTCCACATGCCAGAACATGTTTGTTGTGAGGTGGCACAACTTCACAATCTCTTTCCTGCTGGATTACCCCATGGCAGGTCTAGCTGAACCCCTAGCTTCTGCCCAGGCCAGGCTATTGGGGCAGGAGAACAGCCCTAGGCTGCTGTGGCTGACGGACAAAGGGCAGCTGGCTGCARTGAAAATCACTATCCATCTTCCCTTTCAAGAAGACACTAAGCTGTGAACTTAAAAAATGCCTCCAGGCCAGGTCAACTCACCTGGATGGTCAGCCAGAATGGAGTCATACTGGTCGCAGGTCCTGACCCCRTCCTGCATGTTGGTGACACACTCCCTCCAAAGGCCCCGGCATTTGTGACTTACCTGGAAGCAGGAGAAAGGCACTCATGCAAAAAGCACCACAGTCTCCCCAGCTTCCCAGGGATCTCCCAGCCCAGCAGGGCAGATTTCAGGCTCCCACCACTACACCTGGACGTGTCTGTGTGACCTGGTGACTCCCTGCCTATACCTGCTCTATGTTTTCTCCTGTACCATCTCTCTATCTCTATAGTCCTCTAATTCTTCATGGTTTGTCCCACCACGTCCCCTTTCCAAGCCTGTGGAAACACGGTGCAACCTCATGGATGGCAAGGCACSCACCTTGCTCTCAGCTGCTCACCTTGAGGATGATGGTTGCTCTGCTCACCTTAAAGGTGGCTACTCTGCTCACCTTCCAGGTGTTTGCTCTGCTCACCTCCAGGCTGTCATCAGCGTTGACCATCCAGCAGTCTGTGCACGTAGCCAGGAGTAGGAAGAATGTCGAGAGAAGGGCGAGCCCAAATGCTGTCACCTGCAGAGCTGCACTCATGGGGTGACCTGCAAAAGCACAGAGATGTTCACCAGCTCGGCTCTGGCTACTTCCAGACATCAGATCTTCCAAGGACAAAGTGCCACCAAGGCCAGGCATTCTCTGGATTTCCGAGCCCCATCTCATGGTGCTGTCTGCTGTCAAAATGCTCTAATAGCCTCAGCCAAGGCTGGCCCACCAGGTTTACATGTAAAGAGAGCCTYTAGGGACTCAGCCATTTCATAGTGGAGACATTCCCACATTGGTTTCCTCTCTTCCAAATAGAAGCTGCCAATCATCAGTACTTGCCCTTTGGAAATCAAGAGCTGCTGGAAACCACTGTTAAATAACTGCTGCTACAAAAACCTGTGACCTCAGCACATCTCCAGTAAACCTCTAGAGACCTCCATCCCTGCCATATGACTTGATGGGTACATCCTCTGCCTTTTTTTTGCTTTTGTTTTTTACTCCAAGAAAAGCTATTAGGTGTTGAACATCCAGCTTGRAGCACAAGCAAGTGTTCCATGGAGGTGYCCTAACCTTAAGCACAAGCCCAAARAARTATCTCCCATTCCAAGCAGGACAAAGGCTGCTGGGGCCTGATGTGGGTGCCCTGAGGAGCTATTAAAGCTTTCCACAGAACAGRAGGGATGGGACCATTTGTTTTCCTAGATGGATGTTTTCCATCCCTAGATTAAGGGATAGAGAGAGAGGAGCTATGCCCAAGGTATGAGCAGGGGACATCGTGTCTGCAAACCCTGGGCWGGAATCTCACTTTGTCATATTCTGCAACCCAAAATGCCATATATTTTACTGCCTCAAGTTGCAACCACTGCCACAGCCCTTTGGACASGGGTTCATACAAATACCTTAATTAGCAAGACCAGAAGAGTTTCTGAGCTACATGGGTGGTTACTCTGTCATCACCAGGTTTGGTGCCTCCAGCCAAAGGCTGCCCACCCTGGAATGGCAAAGGCATCCTATGGGACAAAGGGGAGAAGGAGGGTCCCCACCCAGTGTGCCACATCTCCCTCCACACCCCTCTTGGGATCTCACTGGGAGTAGAGGCATCACTCTCCCATCAACTCTGAGCACTTCCACCAGCTTAGACCCCAATTTACAGTATTTTTTTTCAAATTCCCCAGRCTCCCTTCTGAGCTAACTCTCCAGAACCTTATTTGTTTCTGCTAGACCCCAGCTGTTTTGGTGCCTTGGAAGAAAATCTGTTCAGCCACTTCAGTTATATGAACAAGAAAAAAGGAAGAGAAAGAAATTCTTAGTGCTGGGAAAAATCAGCTCTAAACCTTGTTGATAATAAAAAGGATTCACAGAAGAGTATTACCTTCACCACAGGCTCATCCTTGTTGCAGTGGGATGATGACAGAATCTCTTTGTTGCTGATGATTTGGGATAGGAATGTGGGTTTGGAAGGCTTTTAAGTGCCGATGGGATTGGATCCTGACTCATCTGATGGAGTCAGGGACACGCAGCACTGACTGGAGCCTGTGCTGGGCTATTTAAGGTTTGTCCTAGGTACAGCAGCTGGGCTTTGTGCTCTGAGACATGATGGGCATCCCTGTGGTTAGAGCAGTCATAGGCTGGGAATGGAGCCTCCCCAAAAATGTCACATGGGGAAACCTGTGGAAACCTGCTGGGAGCTCTCCCCAGGTGGTGGACTCTGTGTCCTGGGCAAATAGCCCCTGTTTTTTAATTAGACCTTTCAATTACTGCCTAAGAATGAGTGGCCTAAAGACACTGGAGTGRCCTAAGATCCAGGAATGGTACAAGAGAGGGTTGGAAGGGGCTGAAGAAAGAAGCTGGAATGGCAGGCTGATAATGAACCTCTTTGTCTGGTAATTAAGATCCTTATTTTTTCCCCATTAAGCAGAAAACAAGTGAAAACCACGGCAGTGGTGATGGCTCAGGTACCATGTCTGGTCAGCTCCCAAGGTGGTGCCTGTAACCCTGGGTAGCAGCACCCCAGCAGTCTGGCACTCAGAGCTGCCCTAAAAACTTCAGGTTTGTTCCCTACCCTCCTCCTACTRTTTGGGGATTACACAGGATCTGTGTGGCAGGTCCTCTGAGCATCCTTGGGCTCAGCTGTGCCTTGTGGCTCAGCCATCGCTCACCCTAATCTCCCAGACCCACAGAAAATACCCATATTTCCATTTTGTGGATCATAGTTGAGGTGCACTCGAGTTTTTAGGGTGGGTTTGGTTTTTGTTGTGGCTTTTTTCCCGTCTAGATAATCCTCTGCAGCATTTTGCTGTGGGTATTTTGGCAAAGCACCAATCTTGGCAAATCCTCAAACTTCAGCCCTGCAGAGACCCCCAGGTGCCTGATGTGTGAGATTCCTGGGGTTTTGAGTTATCCTGTTTTCCCAGAATTCTGGCACACGGGCAGGTCCAATGCTTTGGCATGTAGCAGTAAATTAGGGCCAAAAAATTTTCAGAAGGGTTTGTGAACATTCATTTTGCAACCTTTACAGCTCAGGAATTTATGGTTCTTGGACATTTGTGACACATGAAATACTGTGTGATTCCAAGTGACACAAAACTAGCTCCATGGTCTTGGCAACACATATAAAATAGGTTTATGCATACCTTCTGCTCATCTAAACACTCAGTTTATGCTATATCAGACTAATCTGCCTTGTCAATCCAAATGAAACCTTTTTGGAGGTGAAAAGATGTAGGTAGAGGAGCAGAACTAGCAGAAGTCAAATAATTAAGCTCCTTTCTCAGGTTAATGACAGTGAAAATCAGATCTTGAATGCCATGAGGTTTGTCAAAACCATGTGTTAAAAAGTGCTGAGAAGACACAAATCTTGAACTTTAGCACTTTATTGTACTAAAAAACCTGCTGTGACTGAAAGAGAAAAAAAGATGTTTGTTTTTTTTTTTTAATGGAATAATCTGTGAGAACTAGAAAGGACTCAGTAGATACTGCTGGGGCAGGACAGTGAATAAGAATTATTAAAAACACCACCAAATTACAACAGCCATGTCTTAGAGGTGTGACAAAAGCCCCTCTGCACATATTTGTGTGGGGCTCATTTTTTCTTTTCCCTCATTTCTTCCTATTTAAAAATGACTATTATTTCTGGGTGGTTTGGCTGRAAGCAAGAGGTATGACCAGAAACCTCAATATTGCTCATCAAACTGGTTGAAGACCAAAAGATGTGTGTTGGAAAGGGAGAACTCCGTTTTAGCCTGCCTGCACTGTGAACAAAGTCAGATCTTTCTCTTTGATGTGCTTCCAGCCTGGGTATCCATCTTCAGGGAGCCTTCAGGTGAATCTTGGAGATGTCACAACAGCCACCAAGGACAGCAAATCCTTGGATTTGAGGTGGGATRGGATGTATTTGTGGACCAGGTGCAGGGGACAGGACGAGGACGTTAAGATGACACAGGAGCCATGCAAAAGCCTGGATGGAAAACATGATCTCTGAAGAAAAACATGCACAGCAGGGGTCATGCCCCTGCATAGGGGTGCAAAAATCTACTTAAATTAGCAAAGTATGCCATTAGGCAAACTCAGCTCTGAAATCATGGGAAATGTGAGAAAACAGGGAGAGTTCAGCTGTGAAAGTCCATAAGAGAGTCCATAAGTGGAAGATGCTGGTGGCATTTCAGCCTTGGGAAAAGACTTGTCGAAGGGCCAAGCTGGATTCTCACGGGGTTAACCTTAAATTAAGACTTTTTAAGGCCACATCCCCTCCTTTGAGAGCAACGTGTCAAAAGACTCAAGATATTTGTGAGAAGGGCAAGAACAGTTCAGGATGGGGTAGAGGCTCCTGCCACACTGCAGAAGTGGCTGTGACCCAGCACTGGAGTCACTGGCGGGGATTGTCCAGATGGGGAGTGAGGGGAGATCAAAGAGACAATTCCAGAACGATGCCCATGATTGAAAATATTTTAATACYACCGAGTCACAATTTTTAGTACCAACAGCAAAAGAACAAAAAAAAAAGCATTTAAAAGTCTCCACCTGTCCCATTTCCAAGGCCATGCATCCCATGGAAAAGTTAGTGGAATTTATATTAATAGAATAAAATCATTCTTTACACTGAAATATAAAAAGGCCTTTTTAGTTGGTTTTGGGGGTTTTTTGTTCTTTTTTTTTTTGTTTGTTTGTTTCTTTGGTTTTAAAGCACAAGGTTCCTTTTCAATCTTCACAGCAGTGACTTTTGGTTGTTGTTTTTGGAGGAGAACCCCAAAATCTGGGTCCAGCACCTCATGGGTGATGCCATCCTAGAAGCACTGCTCTCCCCTGAGGGGTGCAGGACACAGTTTTACAGAGGGGCTGCAATTTAAAAGAGAAAGAGGCACTTAATGCCAGGGAGAAAGAGAGAAATCACCCTCTGGGGGAAAAATAGCATTGCTTCTCCTCCAGCATAGCCAGAGACCCAGACCAGAGCATGGGCACAACATCAAATAGTGCAAAAGGAAATAAAATGGAGAAAAATAGAGTAAAATAAAATAGAGCAAAATAAAACAGAGGATTAGAAAGTAGAGTAAAATAAAATAAAATAGTGCAAATTAAAATAAACCAGAGCAAAATAAAAAAAAAAATGAGGAAAACAAAAGAAAACAGAACAAAATAAAATTTTAAAAATCAGCTCTGTCTTCATATTTGGGTTAACAATAAAATCATTAAAAAATAGATTAAACTGTTTGGATAATTTCCAGTGTCCTTTCCTTTGGGTTGGCTGGCACAACACCTGCAGTAGGGCTGGAGGGATGGAGTACAGAGAGGTTGAGGGATTTAGAGGAAATTGGAGCTTTGGCTATTTCAAAGCAATTAGCAGCGGTGGAAAAGAGGTACAAAGAGGTGGAGGCAATTAGCAGGTTGTGTTTACAGCCTTCCCTGTCTGCTCTAGGGGATCCTGGTGGGGAAGAGGGATTTGGACCCAGCAGGGAGGAGGCACCAAAATTCAGGRCTCTGTCCATCTGCCACTCAAAATAGTTGTGTTGGGTACCAAAAATAAAAACAAATCCATTGTGTCCAGAGCCCTTTTTTGCTGCTTTAATTGGCCCAAACCCATTTATTCTTGTTTAACAAGGCACAGTCTGGTCCTGGGTAGGAGCGAGCCCAAGGCAGGTTTGGGCTGGCAGAGCTCAGCTGRAACAACTGGCCTCCAGGCAGGAATCAATAATAATTAAAAATCATTTAAAAAATGTTGCTTTTCTGTAGCAGTGAGGCAGGGGAATGCTGCACCCTGAAAGCATCYCTCTGCCAAGAGTGGGGCATGGGGAGGCTTGAGCCCCWAGTCRGGCTGGTGCTGTTAGAAGTGAAAAYCTCATTCCAGGAAAACCAAGCATTGGCTTTGCTCCCCGCTTTCTCCTGAAAACAGGATGTGGGAGAGGGATGGTCATGGCACAAAGCGCTTCTATGCAGCACACCCCCGTGGCATTGGCTCTGTGCCTCCATGGCACTGGCATCAGTCTCCCTGGAACGCCTCCACAGCATCCCTGTGACAGACAGACATGGCCTGGCCACATTGCAGGGCTGGGGGTGCCACCCTGCCCAGCTGTGGGGAACATGGCAATGATGGATATGGGAGCTGTGACACTTAAAACCTGTTTTAGAGGCACCGAAAATGGTGCTGAAACCTGGAAGAGAAGGAGAAGAAAGATCTGATGGAGCATTCAGGTTCCAGGCAGGGTGGGAGTGCCAGRGTCTTGCCTGTTTTTGGGAGGGGAGGGAGGCACTGGGCTGCAGAAAGGCAGGGTTAGGGCTCAGACATACTCCCGGGCTGTGGAGGGCTGTGACTGCCGATGGTATTGCTGTCCTCGGCGCTCCTTGGCAGGGCAGGAGCAGCACAGGAGGGACCCCCCCAGCATGCAGAGGCTGGCGGCCCCCCAGCCCACGAAGAGAGCAGAGCCAAATTCGTACCTGTGGTGAAAGGGGTGAGGGAGCATCAGGGAGAGGCAGAGGTGCAAAAACCGAGATGGGCAATAGGATGCTCGATACTCTGATGAAGCAACCAAGGCAGATTTTGGTTCTTCCATCTCCATCCCCATCTTTCCTGCTGGCTGGATACAGCTCCCACGTTTCCCATCCTCTAATCCTCCCCTGGGCTGAAATTCCACATGTGCACCACTACCCTGTCCCAGCTGGTAGCAACTAAAGCTTCAGCATCAGGAACATCTTCTGCAAGGTGGCCATGAGGGCTGTCAGAGGTCCCACCCATGGGGCACATCAGCCCACAATCCCATGCTTTACCAAAATTAGCAAGGGAAGGTCCAATGGGACATGCAGGGACAAGACAGGATTTGGAAGMAGGGCACTCCCTGACTCAAGCTCTTACCTGGCATTGATAGGGATGGTGCTCTCTCTGAAGAACTCGTAGGTCACTTGTGTTGCATACAATGACACGGCAGCCAGTGTGCACAGACCTGGGCACAGAATCATGTAATCACAATRTTTTGAGTTGGAAGGGACCTTTAAACATCACCTAGTYCAWGCCCCTGCAGTGAGGGTGTTGTCTAGCTGTTCCACTAGACATCAAACACYGACTGTCAGTGACATCCAGCCTTCACTGAACTCCATCAAACAGTGCTGAAAGGTGTTTGAGGATTCCTGCACCAGTGRGGTGCAAAGGCTGGAGCTGCCTTACCGGAAAGAACGAAGAGGACACCTCCAGCAACAGCTATGCGGCTCTTGGTGACAGGATCCTCCTCCCCAACTTTAGTGCATTTCATGCCCACCACGCTCACGATGATGCCAAAGAAACCCAGGAGGAGAGAAATGACCATGAGAGCTCGGGATGTCTGGATGTGAACTGCAAGGGGGGAAAAAAAGCTGCTCCCAGCAGGTGCCTTAGGTCACAACAGGGCACTGGAAGCAAGGTCACAGCATTCCATGCTGGTGATGGACCTGTCCTTAACCCTGTCCTTGCTTGTAGCTCCCATGTCATATCCTTCCCCCTTGGCAGATACAGAGATCTCAGCTCTGCTCAGGGCATGGCTCCCAGTGCCTTCCCTGACCTTTTTCCCTGCCGCCCTCATCCTGGTCATGACTGCCTGGGCTGGGAAACACCTTGCCTGGAGCAGCATGACAGTCACCAAATGCCAAAAGGATGATGCACAGTCACGGAGTGGGAGGTTTTGATGTCCCCATGGGGCACTGTTGGTCCCTAAAGGTGATGCCCACATTGGCGCTCAAACCTATTGGGGCCAGGAGTGTCCCAGACACACAAAAGGTCTTGAATTCACAGGGCAAGAGAGGCTCAGTCCTGGGATGGGGAGGTTGTGGCCCTAGATGCACAGATGGAGGGGGAAGCTTGTACCCAGACTGAGACTTAGCTCAGTTGGATGAGTGAAGTGGACTCAGACTTTTCTGTGAGGGGTCAGACCTACGTTAGGGGTGGGGGCAAGAAGGGCTGGGACCTGAAGGCAACTCAGGGCCCTGGAAGGGCCAGGGAAACTCAGATCTACAGGGGGAAGGGGGCACATCCCTGCTGGGATGAGGTGCAAACCTATACAGGTGGGTTCAAATCCAGAGAGGGGCTCAGAGCCATATGGGAGAGGGTCAAACCCACAGCGGGGCTCAGGCTTGTAGGGGGCAAGGGCAGCTCAGGAACCCAGGGGAGCTCAGACCCGGCGGAGAGGAGGAAGGGGGACTGCACCCAGGAAAGCAAGCGGGGCTCACCCCACGGGGCCCGGCTCCCGTACCCACCGTCGAGGGAGAGCAGCGAGTCGTGCAGGCGGCACTGAACCTGCCCGGTGCTCTGGGCGGCGCAGCTCATCCACAGCCCCTCGTGAAGCCCCACGGCCGTGATGATGGCGTCCCCGGCGTACGAGCTTTGCCGCCACTGCGGCAGCACGGCGGCTGCCAGCGCCGACACCCAGCCGGTGAGCCCCGCCAGGTATCCGGCCAGCTCCCGAGCCCCGCCGCCCATCGCCGCCGCCGAGCGCCCTCAGCCCCGCGCCCGCCCCGCCCCGCCCGCCTGAGGGACCGCGCCGGAGGAGGAGGCGAACGGCCGGAGGTGGAGCTGTGAGGGGAACACGCGGGGGGAGCCGTCCAGGGGGGATTTGAGGTGAAGGGAGACACATGGGTCTTGAGCATAAAGATTTAGGTCTTGGGGGGATTTGAATCCCGAGTGGGAAAATTGGGGCCAAGGGGATGAGTGACTTGGGGCTTAGGGGAAATTGGATGCTAGGAGGCGGGAATTAGGAGGGGGGAACTGAGACCCAGAGAAGAGCATTAGGTCTGAGGGAGAGAGAAGTGAGTCTGAGGAGAGTGATTTGGATCTGGAAGCAGGGGATTTGAGTCCTAGAGAGAAGAATGTGGTTTTGAGGGAAAGATTTGGGGCGTGGAGGGTATTTGGGTTGTACAGGAGAGATCTGGGGCTTGAGGGAGATATCCTTCAAATGAGCATGGAGGGATACGGGAAAAGGGCTCCCCAACGGGAGGAGGGGATCAGGCGATGTAGGAGGTTATTCTACCCCATCCACGACCCTCTGAACCCCTGCATGGGCTGGGAGCACCCCAAAGGCCAAAAGGATCACTCCAGGAACGCGACAGTGAGCAGGGAAGGGGTTCACTGASGGAATTGAGGCACACCAAGCCCGTGGCAGCCCCGGGACCTGGCAATCGTTAACTGCCATGGCCTCATCAGCAGTCCGCTCACGCACTCAGGCAGCTGGGGGTGGATGCTGGGATGGTGGGCAGCCTTCAGTGGGAACATCTGTTCATCCTGGAGAAATCATCCTCCAGACCCTCCTTGCCTCCCACAGTGYTGAATGGCCCTCCAAGTGGGATGGGGGTGCTGGGTGGCTGCACATGGGGCAGGATTTATTTGCTCACATTCCCAGAATGGTTATGGTAATGGCCAGACATCCAAGAGAACAATTCAGTGCCCTGTCCGGGGGTGCCAGGGTGCTCAATGTCCTTCTTGTTCAAGGACAGTTCCCTCCTCCCTGGAATGGTGGGTTCCTTCCCACGCAATGGGAGCAGGGTCCAGGGGATGTTCAGCTGGAGATTACATTGCCCCTGCTGCCCTGGGGCACCTTTTCCTCCCCAAACACCTTTGTGAGGCTACAGGGCTTGCGTAGATGTTTGCCAGGAGGGAAGGCTGCACCCCAACAATGACAACAGCCAAAGGGTGGCACCAGTYTTCAGTCCCCACTCAACAAGTGACAACTTAGAAAAAAAAAAACAAAAACCTTTATTCATCCATTTTCGGCAGAAGGCACTTAAATAGCTGGAGGTTCAAGAAAGGCACATATCTGCACCTGCACCATCRGGGCCCCACCCCTAACACAGCATCCCTCCCTTGTCCCCATGTCACCCACCCTGAGCCTCCATCAGAYCCCAGGTCAGTTCCCCAGGGGGKTGCTGGATGCTGCAGGGGTGGTACRGGGCATTCCCCAATGCCAGGGTTGGGGGCCGAGGGGGTTCCATATGTCACCCTTACAACTGTGCAGCCCAAAGCTACAATGCTGGCATCACTAATCCCAGAAGAGAGATCCTGGTTCCTGTAGGATGTCACAGCTCATCTTTCCCCACCACAATGGCAGCTGGTGATTCCTCCTTTGGCTCTGGYTCCAAATCCCCCTCTTCCATGCTGAAAAGCATCTTCACCAGGTCATCAGCTTGGACACGCTCCTGTGGGCAGACCCACGATGGTGAGCACACCCACCATCCCACCCCAAAACCCCACATGCTGCTGGGAGGGAGTTTACCCGCTCACTGTGCCGAGGGTCCAGGGTGAACCAGAGGGCAATAGCACAGCGCTGGCCCTTGGTCACAGCCTTCACTCCATGGGGGTTCTCTGAGCCGGAGGAGAAGCCCACAGCACGGCCACACTGTGGCTGGACCTCTGCCTGTCAAYGGTGGGAGACCCCAGTCAAGGATGGGTTAGTTCCCCTCAACTCAAGTTCATCTTTTGCAGTGGCTCAGGGGACATTCCCAGGGGACAGGGCCAACAGGCAGGAGCTGGATTTGGTTTGCACATGGATCCTCAGAGCTGAGCTACTCACGGTCTGAGTCTTGGCATCCAGCTCAGTGAAGTAGAAAGCTCCTCCTTCAAAGTCCCCATTGAGGTAGAGGATTGCACTAAAGAGAGCAGGGGACAAGTGGAGGTGACAAGCAACCATCACCAGCTCCAGCAAGCAGGTGAGTCCCGAGCTCCCCAAAACCATGGCGAAAGCCAGAGTCAGGAGACACCAGGTTTGGTGTCCTCCTACCTTGCTCCTCCCAACCCAGGTGCCACCGTATCACGGTACCCTGAAGTGGGGAAGTTGCAGCTGACAGCCACGAGTACCTGTAATCCCGGAAAGTGTAGGCTGGGGGTTCCTTCACGCACACCCGTGCCTCTGCATTGAGGATGCAGTTGTCCACATGCACCTCGTGGCTGYTGTCACTCCGACCTTCTTGCTTCTCTAGGGTGGAACATGTCATRTCAGGAACCCTCTGTGCAAGAACAGGGTTATGTCCCCAAGTATTCTGTGCTTGGAGGTGACAAGAAAGTCACATGTAGCCGAAAGCACTTCCACTTGCTGGAGTGTGGATYGTGCAAGGCCATTTGGGTGGCACAAAACACTGTTGACTTGTCCCATGGCATTTCCATGGTCCTCCAGGCACAGTCTCTCTCAGCATCCATCCCAAAATGCTCTGAGTGATGAAATCCTGTATGGCATGARGCCATCTGCCCTGTTAGAGGCAACCAGCAGAGCTGCTGCTCATCTTCCCAAACTGGGCTTAGGGCTTCCTACACCTCCCTAGGAAGAGGAGCAGGTTAGGGAGCGGCCAGGAGGACTCCAAAGAAAGGTCCAAGACCAGACCACTGCAGCTGTAAGAGGAGATCCAGACAGGACAAGACTTGTTCCTCTGGGCCATGCTCACCATCGATGGCTGTGCGGCAAACTAGGTGGGAGTAGGAGAAGTGGAGTGGGACCTCCAGGCGGAAGTAGGACTCCATCATGTGTCGCACTTTCTCCGTCACGTTGTAGTACAAGTAGGCACTGCGCAGGGGCACCTTGCCCTCCTGGCCCAGCTGTGGCCACAGACAAGACAGGGCTCAGCCCCAGCTGGGCATGGGCAACCACCTGCYCCAAAACCACCCTCCCTTGTCCCCACAGCCCGTTTTTCCACACAGCCACCCCAACCTTGAGGGCCTTGAGGACAGTCACGCCATAGAAGGTCTCGCTGGGAGTGTGAGGAGAGGTCTTTCCCCGATAGCCGTCCCCAGCCGAGGCAGCTGCCTGCAAAACCCGATTGGTGTTACTGGTCTGATGTCTGAGCCGCAGGACAGGACCCCTCAGCATCCTCTGCCCATCCCTGCCTGCTCCACTTGTCCTTGCACTCACATTAGTGAGTCTCTGCAATTCCCGGCACTCCTCGGTAGAAAGGACTCCATCCACCACAACACGCTGGGAACCATTCAGGGCCCTAGAGTTCATGGTGATGCTTGCTCCTTTGTACACCAAGGGGCCACCTGTGGCACAAACAGGATTGTGGGACATGGGGATAGATGCCACCAACCCTGGGGAGTAATGCTGGGGGAAGCTGTGATCCTGCCACCTGCTCCTGCTGCCACCYATGTGTGGAGAAACCATGAGCTGGCAGCAGGGGTCACAGAGGTCCACATCCCATTTCCCCTCCTGGCCTTCTGCACCTTCTCGGATGAACTTGCTCATGTTGGCAGACTCCTTAGCCTTCTCCTCCACCAGTGTCTCGATCTCCTTCATGAGGTTGCCGATTTCCTCAGAGATGCGTGCTGCCGTCTCCCGCTCCACCCTGGGCATGCAGCAGCCATTAGCACCACCACCCCACTGTTCCCACATCAGAAATGAGGGCCACTAAAACAAGGGCAGGACAAGTTGTCTCAGGTGCCAGTGACAAAGCTGGCACCAAGACTAGAGAGAATCACCTCAATGCATCCCTCACTCTGAGGTGCTTGGGGTGACCTACCCATGCCCATCATCCCATGGGCTGATGGGAAGCAAAGTTCTGCTCTCTGGCAGACTCTTCCAGTCCCAATATCAAAACCTCCCCTGGCAGAAGTTCTATGCCATGGCCTTTGGCCCAAAGCCACAGAGGAAGAAAGCTATATCCTGTTGGACCCCTCTTGGGTGGGCTCAGCTGGGGACAGCACTCACTTCTGTTTCTCTCGCAGTCTTTTTGGTATCACCTCTTCAGGTGTCCATGTGTCCTGCAGCCAGAAGAACAACATCAGGAACTGGACAAGGATCTGGCCAGGATACAGACCCCTCATCTGCATTCCATCTGACCACTGCAGCCCTCTGGTCTTGCACCACCCACCGGGTCCACAAAAGGGATGCCAAAGACGTCATAGCTGAAGAAGAGCAGCTCCTTCTCCATCACACTCCGCTGGTGGTATGCCTGGATCTCCTGTGGGAAGGGACAGAGAGATGGGGTGAGGTACAGCAGGAGGGTTCTGAAAGCCCCTGAGTGTGGGCAGAAAGGTGCAGGTTTACACCATTCTTGTGGTTCTTGCTCCACAGCCTGGTTTCTGGCCCATCTGGGAAGGAAGTGACCTTCCGCATCCTGCCTGAACTTCCCTGTGGACAAGCCCTGGGGAGAGGACAGTTGAGCAGAGGCACACATGTCCCTTCTGCAGGAGGCTCTTTAGGAGCARATTCTGTTCCCCTACTCCAACTGGTGTGGGGCAGAGACTCCCATCTATGCCTATCACATCCCAGGCAGGACCTGGCCATCCAGATCTTCTCCTTTTTAATCAATTTCACCTCCGTTGTGGAAGAGTGCAACAGAGGTGGGCTCAGATCCTCCTAAAAAGACTCTGTACCTGCCTTTCACAGCCCTCTCTCTGAGGAATGGGTCTATGTGTACCAAACATCCAGCTTCACTTAGCCYAAGACATTTTGCCAGTGATRTTTGTCAGCCTCTCAGCTATTTTCMAGCTTSTCAAACCTTAAATCTACCYATTCCTGTCCATCTTTGGTAGCTGGCCCAGAGGAGACCCTACAACTTCTGCGAAGGTCCCCAAGGAGGAGAGATGTCCCTGCAATTGTTTGTCTCAGATGATTGCTCACCTCTCGGGGTTGGATGGATCTGGCCAGGTTTTCACCCAGGACAGCAGTGTAATAGGCCAAATTCTGGTTCATCACCTCGTCATGTGGGAAGAAGAGCAAATAGGTTTTGGCGCATTCAATGGCTTTTTCRTAATTCCCATCTGCAATGAGAAAGGGGGCTGTTAATGGCATGTCCAAGGACACTGGAGGCAGAACAAAGACAGGTATGGAGGAGAAACTTGTTGTTTTCCAGAGGGTCTCACGAGTAAGAAGATCCCCTGGAGCAAGGATAACTGCTGCCACAAAGGCAAAATTCAGACTCTGAGGTATTCTCCTACCTCCAGAAACCATTGCAATAGAAATCAGGGTCACAGGTTGGGTACTTTTCTCACTTGGAAAACATCACAAAGCCTATTTACCGRCAGCCAGACCCAACAATTTCCTGGCTAACCTGCAATTTCCAGCCACTGAAGCATCCTGCCCCACCTTCATGCRGCTTTTCAGAATCACACAATCACAGAATGAGTCGGGTGGGAAGGGACCACAGYGGCTCAGTCATCTGGTCCAAYATCTCTGCTCAAGCAGGGTCCTCCCAGAGCACATGGCACAGGATTGTGTCCAGATTGTCTCGAGTATCTCCAGTGAGAGAGAACGGACACCCTGTCTGGACAGTCGGTTCAGTGCTTGGTCACTGCACACTTCCCCATATCCAGGTGGAACTTCCTAGGCATCAGTTTCAGCCTCTGGTCTTACTGCTCAGCAGCACCTGGCTCCAGCTTCCAACACTTCCCTGCAGATGCTGGCAGACATAGATGACACAGTTGTCTCTTCTTGAGGATTTCCATCCTCTTGGACTTCGTATTTTTCCCCTCCTTTTGAAGAAATTCACACAAAAACATTTTACACTTTAGAAGTGAATAAAAAATGAAACAAAACCAGGTGTATTCTCCTGGGTTGTAACTCTTCTGCAGTGGGAGTGTGCTGCTGTGCTTTGAGGCAAGAGATGAACAGCTGGCAAGGAGGAAAAAAAAACCAAAAACTTCTCCAGGCTGTCSATTCACTTGGAAAGTGAAGCTGCTCAGGAATAGTGATGTGGAAAGTGACTGCAGCCAGGCACAGAGAGATCCAAATCTCCTGCAGAATATTTTAGGCAGGAAGAACATGCCCGTATGAACCTSATGAAGTACAAGATGTAGTGGAAGGCCCTCCACCACTATCAGTGAAGGGGGAATGGATGAGATTAGTACACCTGGTGGAGAAGGACACGGAGATAATGGCGGATGAAAAATTGCAAATGACCCATCTGTGTGCACTAGCAGCCCAGAAATCCTCCATGTTCTGGGCTGAGCCCCAGCAATGTGGGCAACGGGTCAGGGAGGGATTCCACCCCTCTGCTCCACTCTGGTGAGATGCTGCTTGCAGTGCTGTCTCCAGTTCTAGGCTCCCCAGCATAAGGACTGATTTGAGTCCAGAGAAGGCCACAAAAATGGTCAGAGGACTGGAGCCCCTCTGTGAAGAAAGACTGAGAGAATTGGGCTTGTTGAACCTGGAGATGAGAAGGCTYCTGAGAGGTCTTATGGCTTTCCCATATCTAAATGGGCCACAAGATAGATGAGAACAACTTTGTCCCTTCATCTTAGGTTGAACTGATGAGATTATCTTTGAAGGTCCCTTCCCCACCCAAACCACTCTGTTGGATCAATGATTTCAGCCCATGCAGAGCTGAATGCCCAGTGCTGACAACCACAGAAGATGAGGTGAGGAGCTGCTTACTGTTGTAGTAGGCAAACTGCAGGTAGTTGAAGTGCGAGGGCAGGAAATCCTCCAGAGGCTTCTCCCGACCGGGCTCTGAGGCCAGCTCTGTGACACAGCCCTGCTTGCAGCTTAGCACCTGCATGGAGTGATCTGGGGGAGAAAAACTGCATGTCACTGCTCACCCATGGACTGGTGGGCAGGACCCTGAAGGGTGTCCAACCTCCTGCTCACACTRGGCTTGTTGCAAGCTTTTTGGTAGTGGAAACCCTTGGGGATGGGGGTTGTTCCCCTCTGAATTCATCGGTGGTGAGGTTGTGGTGCTCTCTCAGGACAGAGTAGCCATCCTCAGCCTCCTACCACATCCTGGTGACCCTCTAACTCCTGTCTTTCTGTACTCCTCTGGAATTTGGAGGATTCCTGGGTATCAGCCCCAGTGCTGAATGCAGGTGAAGATCTCCTGCCACTTACTGCCTCCACTTTCCTTAGTGAAAGCTAGGATGGGGTTTGCACTCTTGAGRGGTCCTCCACCCTCACCCCTGGTCTTTGGGGACCAACCCCCCGAGAATTGTCCTCAACTCTTGTGACAGGACACAGAAGGCATGGTTCCCACCTGTGATGGCTTGGAAAAGGTCTGCATTGTACTCCAGGTAGTTGTAGCCCTCATAGTCGTAGGGTCCCTCACAGAGAGCRCGGCACTCAGTGTCTGCAACAAAATACTGCTCCAATGCTTTCTCCAGGTGCAGAATGGCAGCAGCTGGCTGCTCATCTGTGTAAAACCGAACRCCCAGCCGAAACTCGCTCTGCAGAGGGATGAGAAATGATGAGCGGATCTCAGTGCCTCACTCTCCATGATGAAGCACCTCATCTCCACCACAATGGCATCTCACGAGCTTTCTGAACCAGTAGCCACAGTGTGACTGCCCTGGGCTCCAGAGCGGACAGGGGCTTTGGGAGGGGAGCATCTCACCAGGTGGGGTTTGGCCTCCAGGTCAGTGAAATCTTCCTCACGGACTCCCACCATGGCCTGGTAGTACTCCAGGTTCTGCCTCATCTCCTGGTGCCCGGGGTTGGCCACGAAGAAGGTGTGAGCGGCCGCCGCCGCCTGCGCCGGCCGATTCATCTAGGCGGGATGGGGGTAAGACAGCCCGGATTCCACGCAGAGGGAAGGAGACATCCCGTCCCCCCGGGGTATCCCGGCAGCCGGGGCGGAGGGCGGTGACAGAGGCGGCTCCGGCGAGCTTCGACGTGGCACTYGGGGGGGAGGGGGGCACGGCCGGGGCTGCCGGCCGGTAACCCCACTCTGTCGGGGCGGACACCGAACATCCCGGCGTCCCGGGACCGGGATCGCCACCTGCCGGTTCACCCGGTCCCACCCCTCCATCCTCCCGCCTGATTCGGGGATCCTCCGTGCATCCCGCCCGTCCCAAATCCCGTCCCAGCGGGACACCCCTTTCCCTTYCCTTTCCTTGCTTGCTGCCGGTCCCGCACCTTGAAATAGGCGACCTGGAGGTAGTTGTAGGGGCTACGCCGGCCGAACTCCCGATCCAGTTCCTCGCCCAGGCGRTATCGGGAGGGTGCAGGAGGCCCGCAGCCCCGCAGACAGGCGGCGCGGTGAAGAAGCCCACGAAAGAACCACAGATCCCGGAGCACCGGGTCAGGCTGGGGCTCGGTCCCCTCCGCCGGCCTCCCKGTAGCGTTGGCACAGCGCAGGCGGCACCGCACCAGCCGGGAGCGAACAGCGGCCCGCGCCCGCAGCGCCCGCTCCATCTGCAGCACCACGGCGGGCCAGTCGCCCCGGGCGTACGCCTCGGCACCGGCAGCGAACAGCGCGTCCGGGGGCTGGGCGGGCAGCGGCGGGTCGGCCGGTACCAGGGTCGGGACCGGGACCGGGACTGGTTCCGGTGGCGTGGCCGCCCGTGCCAGCAGCAACAACGCCAGCAGCAACAGCAACAGAAAGTGCAGCTGCAGAGGCGCCATGTCCGAGCCCCGGCCGAGCCGCGGCACCGCCCGCCCCGGGCACGGGAGCGACACCAGCTCCGCCCCACGGCCAGTCAGCGACCGCAGAGCCGCACCATGGCCGCACCCCTCGCCGTGCGCGCTGACGCCGCAGCGGAACTCTCCCCGCCGGGCGGAAGCATTGGCTGCTGCTGGCCGGTAATGGCGGAGGGTGGCGCGGAGCCCGGGATCGACGGYCACGGTCCCGGTCCCGGTCCCGGGCTGGCCCTGGTCGAGGGCAGAGCCGGCCGTGCCTCCCGCGTCGGGGACCCCGGGGACCTGGTGGCCCTGGCCCGGCAGGTGCAGCAGGTGAGGGCCGGGTCCCAGCGGCGGGGCGGCGGGGGCTGGGCTAGGCTCGGTGTGCCGCTGCCTCCCGCCGTCTCGGGGCCGTTCTCAGCCGGCGGCGGCCTTGGTGTGTCCCAGCACGTCCCGCTGCTTTCCGGTGGCCCCGGCGGCCTCCTGGTGTGTCCCGTGGTTCCTCTCACCATCTCCCACCTCCCAATTCCTCCCAGTATTTCGCAGTGCCCTCCGCCCTGTGCCTTCCCGAGTTCCCACGGTGCTGGTGTCTCCAGTGCTTGCCACTGTACCTTGCCCCACAGTGACTCCCAGAGTGTCCCACTGAAGTCCCAGTATATCCTGCTGCCTCTCAGTATGTCCCACTACCTTTAGTTCACAGCTGTGTGTGTACAGATGCCTCCTGCAACCACAGTCGCGATCCATCCCAGCACCCCTCATATGTCCTATTACTGCTTCAGTGATTCCCAGTCTATACCTCTCAGTCTGCCCCAGTTTTCCCTGATACATCCTACTGGCCCTCCCAGGACCCTCCAATATGTTATACTATTCCCCCAGGGCCTCATAGTATATGGCCTCATAGTACATCCTACTGACCTCTAGTGATGTCCACTTTGTCCCTCAGAGCTTCTCAATTCACCTAAATGCTTCATGTATGTCCTACTGCCTCCCTGTGCATTCCACTATCTCCTGGTCCAACCCATTGCTCCCAGAATGTCCTGCTGCTCCCACTCACTGCCTCAACCTATACAGGCAGCTCCTGGTGTTTGCTCCTGCCCGGGGGTGCCAGGACAGCTCCTGCAACCCCCAGCTCTGTTAGTGCCTTGAGCTCAACCATGCTGGGTCCAGCACTGTCTGGAGGGCTGTGGTTCTTCCCGTCCTGACCAGGCCTCATTTTCTCTCTCAGGCCGATGATTTTGTCCGGGCAAATGCCTGCAGCAAACTGACCGTCATCGCTGAGCAGATCCGGTACCTGCAGGAGCAGGCACGGAAGGTGAGTGAGGATGGGCAGAAGGCTCATTGCCTTGCCTGGGGASATGATCATCTGCTGCCACTGCTGGGCATTTGGGGTGAGCTGTGGCCTGGGTGTGAGTTGGGCCCAGGAGCCAAACAGGGAAGATTCAATGGAAGAATAAGGAGAGTTATTGTCTGATATCAAGGGGGATGGGGAAAGGTTGGTTTTGGTGCTTTCCCTGAGTCCTGAGCACGCCAGGAAGGGCTTTATCCAAAATAGGGGAGCAAGGGTGGGTGGTCCAAAAAAGCTCAGGTGTCAGGACAGAAAGACTATTCTGGTTTTGGAACAGATGACTTCTGTGTGCACTGTGCTCCTGGAAAGATCTGGTGAGGTGACAATGTGGTGCTGGCTGAATCTGAGGCCCTGGGAGAGATGAGCTCTTACCTGACAATGAGCTCGGCCTTCCAGTTTATCCTAGCTCATTTGCTGGAGTGGGTGGTCCCAACAGCACACAGCAGGGCTTGGCTGTGTTCATCAATCCAGCCTTCACCCTTAGGGGTGAATTCTGTAGCCAGAGTGGGGAAGTATCTGCCAGTCACTGCAACTGGCCCACTGCCACTGAGGCCATTACGTCATGTAATCATTAACTGGTGGAGCTGGAGCAGTCAGGTGGTGTAACTGTGGAGATTAATTCCCCTTTGTTTGCTGCCCCTTCCCTCAGGGAGCACAGCCAGAAGGCCCCAGAGTCCAGCAGCTGTGTGCGCAGATGAGAAATAAATGCAGTATGTGGTGTGGTCAAGTGTAGGGGTGAATCTGGGGTGAGATGCAGAGATCCTTGATGCTTGGTAGAATTTCCACCTCTGTGGAGTCATTCTCTGAGGTCCTAATGACAGGGAAGAATTGGAAAAAACTTTATSTCTTTGGAAAGCCTCTCATTCCTGGGGCAAGTGAAGTCAGATRTGCACCAGGGCCTCATGAGCCATGTGTCAAGTGATGTGTCTTGGGCTATGGCTGACAGGCAATAGCATGTTGTCGTTTTTATTTCAAGTGTAGAAATGTTAAGTTTTGTGTTTTCCAGGTCTTGGATGAAGCTAACAGGGATGCTGATCTGAACCATGTGGCCTGCAACCTTGTGAAGAAGCCAGGAAATGTTTACTACATGTACAGGCGGGATAGTGGGCAGCGGTACTTCTCCATCCTGTCTCCTAAGGTGGGTGGTTACAGCCCATGAAGAAGCAGGGAGGGGAAAAAAAAGTCATGTTTCTGGTGCTTGGGAACATATGGRGCTCAGACAAAAGCACCAGCTTGATGGGTGCATTGATCAGTCCCTACTCAGCTGGTGTTTGCCCTTGGTCTGGGTTAGTTTGCTGGGGCCAGAGCCATCTTAGGGAGTTCTCCTGGCTCTTGGTGAGAATGGCAAGAAGCTGTTTGGGGCATGGACCTGAATTTTGCCTTTTGGTTCCTGTGGTTCTTTGCCTGGAAGTAAAGAACTGCCAATGTGCCCTGAGCCTTCCCTGTCTGGTGTGGCTGCCTGGCAGGATGGGTATTTCAGCCCAGGGACTGAGTTTGCCTGCAGCTGTGGGGTTGGTCTTGGAGTTTGCCTCCTCTTAGATGCAGGGTGAAGGCTTCAGGGCAAAGCTCTGGGCAGGTYAGGGAGATCTTGTGTCTGCAAGCCTTCCTGTGTCAGCAGCACTGGAGCCCTACCTGGTTTTGGACTCTGGGTAGCTGAGCTTATTATTAAGTTAGGAAATGGGATGGTTGTGTAGCTGGGATTGCTTCAAAGGTAGTAGGCTGAGGGACAGCACAGCCCAGCTCCAAGGGTAACTGAGCACTGATGGAATTTCTCTTTTCTCCACCAGGAATGGGGTACCACTCCCCATGAATTTCTTGGTGCCTATAAGCTCCAGCATGACATGTCCTGGACTCCGTTTGAGGACATAGAGAGACGAGATGCTGAAATARCTGTCCTGGAGAAGCTGCTGAGCCGACAGACAGCACTGCCCCCGTGCACGGAGCCCAACTTCCAGGGCCTGACCAAGACCACACAGGACTCCCTGAGCAGAGTCTCTGAGTGAAGGGACATAGTGCCTGCATTCTGCCAAAGGCAGGGCAAAGAAAGAGACGAAGAAACCAAAATTCTGATTGCTCTGTGCTTTAAGGAGCTTAATTYTGCATCCAGTCTTAATGGATTTTCTAGTAATTGAATAATTTACTTTGTTGACCTATGCCATGCTGTAGCAAGAGGCAGGTGGTACTAGGAGGTGTGAGTTCCAAGAACACTTGGAGCAAAAAGCAGAAATGCTTGGGGCAGATGTGATAATGCTGTAAAATAATATCTCCTACTTTCCTGGTTCTGGTGGACCTCACACTGAGTACTTGTGGCAGATATTGATCTCAGGGCTGGATTTTGCCACTTATTAAAATGCAGATGTTTAGGGAGCTCTGTGGCCTGGGAAGAGTGGTCAAAAGCCAGTGCAGAGGGTCTGCTGTGATTAGTCTTCTGGTCTCTGTCCTAGCTGGCCTGAATCCCTGAGCTTCGGGTGATCTGAAGCTCTCTTCCCTGGAAAGAGCATCCTCAGAAGTGCCATGCAGGCTTCAGGTGCTCTTCAGATGATATGTGTTTCATAAGTTCATGCATTTCCCTAGGATTTGAGTGCATGAGCTGCCATGTAGAGACAGGATACTGGATGATTTTATGCCAGAGCAGTGGGGAGAGTAAAATAAATCAGACTTGATCTCATGTGTACCTCCAGGGTCCTGTATTCTTCTTTTGTGGCAAGAATCCCTTTAGATTTACTAGAGAAACTTAGTGGCATGTGGAGTTGGTAGGACACCTCCAGCAGTTTTTTCTACCTAGCAAAATTAGGGAGAAGTAAAGATCAGAGCTGCTGAGATGTCCTTCYTCTGTCCCGCCACACAAGGCTTCTTCAGGCATGCACTTCTGTGAGGAGCCTAAGATGGAATTTATTGCCAGAGGGGATGTCCAGGTTGGATCCTGGCATGCAACATTAGATCTGGTCGGATCCTCCCATGATTTACACACTTTCCTGACATGACAWGGTGATCTTATATGCTTGTTACACATATAAGATCATTACACATGCACAGTGGCCTTGGCCACCTCCATTGGCAACATGGAAGGGTTGGGGACCACTTGTAGCAGCTGGAGCTGCTTCTTGGTGGAGCCCAACTATGAGGGCATCTRCAAAAAGGAGATGCTTGGGGACCAGCACTGTCACTGTATTGCCATTGCTGGAGTTTATTCCCCCACTGCAGCACACAGCTTCTGCTTCAATCTCTCTCCCTCAAGTCCTTGAGTTCTCAAGGCTGCTGGCAGTGACAGTTCCTCATGGGAGGAGCTGTTTCCTGCTGGCATTACAGAAGAATGGGAGGTTTGGAGCAGCTCCCTAGCAGCCCAGGAGTATTTTTTGTCCCTGATTTTCTTTTCCCAGTTCTGTCCAGTGCTGTAGCTCACCTGCATCCCAACATGGCTGAGCCTCTGGTTAGCAGAAACCTGCTCCTTGAAGTCAAAATGGGACATTTTCTGAATGTCTTTCCTTACTTGGAGCACAAGGATGTATTAACAGCAATTTATTTTGATTAGTASTAGTAGACCAGGCTATAATTAATTTCTTATCAAGGCACAGGTGCCTAATTTTTCTCTACTTGTTTCATCGCCTTGAGTCTGATTTTACTGCATGCTATTAAATCTTAACTTGGAAGAGAGAAAGTTAATTACTGCATGGGCTTTATGTGGTGCTAATTACAGCAACACCRTGTCTTCATGTGTGTTGATTTATGCTCCTCTGGGAAGTGGGGATTCCTGCTCTGGTTTTATGTTTCCATCATTAGTATCTATACCATGGCATGCACTAGAGAATTGGTGGGGGATGGTTGTAGACTTTTGTAACTTTTAGTGGCTCAGACACCCCTGGCCCTCCATACCTCACAACTCACCGGTGTCCTGCAGTTCCTTTGGGGACTGTCAAGTCTTTCTCCTGGATTTTCCCCTAAAAAAGCAAAACCACTATGGCTGTGGCTTTGTATGAAAACACAAAGGCGGTCTCAAAAGACAGGACACGGAGGGGATGGGTTCATAGTCGTGGTCAGTGTTCTTGGCACTGTGGGGWGTGGGGAATGAGGCTGCTGCAGGGAGGGATTGCTGGAAAAGGGGAACTGTTCCCCCAAAAACTCCTTATGCATTTCTAGGATCTAATTAAAGCCAAAGAACTGAGACATCATCAAAAATACTGGGAGGTGCTTTAGAGCAAAGCAACCCATAATCTGAACACAGATAAGGATGGAGCTGGTGGCAGGAGGATGAGGTGGAGCTTCCTGTGATGYTTGCAGTGAGGATGAGTTTCTGGAGAGCTGAGGAGATGGTGCCCTGTGGGAAACTCCACATTCTCTCCAGGTTATGATCTCATCCACTTGGCTCAGCCTCTACCCAGACAGTGCCTTTGTGCTTGGTGGGGCAGGGATTTAGTCCAAAATCAGCTGGAAGAGACAGTGAGACACTGACATCCATTCACAAGTTCATCTTGAAAATCCTTTTGAAAATATTCCTCTACCTTTGGTCTTTTGTGAGTGCTCAGGGCAGCAGTGAGTATATTTGGAAGGCTCTTTCCAAAATCTCCTGGGATGGCCAGTATTTGCAGAAGGCAGCACAGGTGTACTTCTGACGCCATTACATTGGGCAGAGTGGGTGTTGTTTCATCTTTGGCCATRCAGATGAACCAGGGCTCGTTTAAGAGGCCCAGCACAAAGATATTCTGAGGGTATAACCCGTTCCAGGTGTTCTCCAGAGCCGCTGTTTGGTGACTTGAGGCTGCTGGCGCTGGGACTTGCAGCTTTTCCCAGCTTACAAATTTGAATTACTCTSGAGTTTTCTGTTCCAGGCCAGATTKTTGCTCCTGCTTCTCAAATTGGCCGTGCATGGAGATTTTCTTCCTGGCCTCTTGTTCCTGAAGGATGCGGGGTTTAGAGGGATTTAGCCCTCCATAAGTGCCCACTATTCACAGGGGTCATCTCCCAGCCTGGAGGATTCTCCCAGCAAGGAGGAACTGGGGCTTTTTGGCCTTTTTTATTTCAGATTCAGATCCCGGGAGAAAAGAAAATAAAAGAAAATAAAAGAAAATAAGAAAACCGAGAGGGATTTTGGGCGCTGTCCTCCCGTGGGGCAGGCCGTGCCCGCGCCCTCTGCCGTCCGTGCAGCCCTGAGGGCGCTGTGCCGCCAGGGGGCGCTGYGCCGCCACGCCCCTCGCCACCGCCCGACGCGCTGCGCGGTGACGTCACCCGGCTGCCCCTGTGCCTGCGCCGAGGAGACCCCGCAGTGAGCTGCCAACGCCCGGCGGAGCGTCCGAGGTGAGAGCGGGGGAGGGGGCGGCACCGGCACCGGGACAGGGACAGGGACCCCCGGCCGGGCACCGGGACCCCCGGGAGCACCGGCTGGCCCCGATCCCCGCCCGGGACCCACCGACACACCCCCGGCCTTCGCCTCGGTCGGAGCGCCCGCTGTGCGGGAGCCACCCTGCCGGGCCCCCTGGATGTGGCGGGGCCTCCCCGGCAGCCAGCRGCCGTCTGCTGAGGGGCGGAGGGGGGGATCCGGCCTCCTCCCGGCGGGTCCCCGCGGCTGCKGGCGGGCGCTGCTTTTGCGGGGCCGAGTGTGCTGGGACGAGTCTGCTGGGACGGTGGGGGCGGCCGTCGGCTCTCCTCTCCACCCTTCTCCCCCCTTTCCGGGCGGCGGGCGGGCTGGACCCTCGGAGCGGCGCAGGAAGCGTTCCCGCGGCCATGGCGGGGCCCAGCTGCGCTCCCTTCGCCCTGCCCGTCCCAGCCCCGCCCTGGTCCCGTGCCGGCYCCGGCCGCGGCCCTCCGCGCTCGGTGCAGCTCGGCTGCGCCMGGGGATGTGGGAGAATCCCTGAGGGGCAGAGGGCTGGTCTGGATGTGCCGTGCCACAGGAGCCCYGAGCCGCAGCGGGGTGCGGGCATGGCGAGGTGTTGAGCTCTTGAGCTCCAGCTGTGTGCCGTGCACAGACAGCGCTCAGTCGAGGACATAGGAAGCTCTTCTGGGCATCTGCCTGACGAGCTGCAAGGCTGTGGGTTACCCAGAGCCGTCCCGCAGCTCTTGTTACAGTGGGATGCCCCCGGCTGCAGCTGGGGAAGGAGCTAGCGCTGCTTCGAGGGTTGGTGATGACATGTGCTTCTCATTCTCCTTTGAAATCTCATAAAAGTGTATATACTGCAGCAGCATAAAACTTGTCTGTGTTTTAAAGGTCTGTTTTAGTCATCTGGACTTCAGTTGTGTATCTATAAATAYGCAGAACTTTCAGCTGATGACAGCAGTAAGGAGACGCAGATCCAGGTAGCTGCRAACATAACAACCATCACTGGAAACCTGTGCTTAACAAAGAACTGTAGAGTGGTCAGGATTCCTGGTGTTCTTTCTGTGTGGATGCTGTGGCCAGAGCAGCTGGAGCAGCTTTGCTCCCCTCTTGATAGCAGCATGAGGAAGACAGGCTCTGGTGTGGAGGCCATGTTAGATGGCAACTGGCTGGTCAGAAGTGGCTCGGTCTGGCCATCTGTGATTGTCTTTGTCTCATGTTCATCTGTGCTTCTCTCCCAGGGAAGGAGGTGCTGGTTGTCTCTMTTCAGAGGATTGAGTTGCAGTACCCCAAACACATACTTTTTTTTTTTTTCTTTAATTTGGAAGGCACATTTAAAACCTGGATCAAGCTATTTATATTGCTCATAGGGATAACTCAGTAAAGTACTTACAGCTTCTCTTTTTCAGTAAGCAAATTATAAATTGTATTCAGCTGGCTGTATATGGGGAAGCTGCTGTTCTGCTTTGTAAATTCTTGTTGTTGGTGTGAGGTTCTGAGAAAGATAGTATAGGCAAGTGTATATTTGAGTCAGGTCTTAGACATGCGTGTAAGGTTTGAATAAGTCTATTACTGACTGTGAAAATGGTTTGGTGTTTAAACTGTTCACTTGTATGGTTCAGTAACAAAGAGGAAAAGGATTTTTAAGTCTTGGCAAGGAATAAAAAATTGCTGCGRTGCGAGATAAAACATGTTTTCACTTTGGTAACATATCCTAGGCAGAAATTTTAATCACTAGATTTGCATACTTTGAACTTGTTTATTCATGACCTGCAACTGATGCTCTGAATTCATTAAGTGCCCTGCTTTAGGGTTGTTTGTTTGCCTGAAACTGATGGCCAGAGCTGGGGACTTCATGATGTTTTTACTGTTTAAGTAGAAAAGCTTTGGATTCTCTAAAGKGTCCAGTACCTAAAACGGAAACTGTAGATCTGCTAAAACCCAACAGTAAACAGAAATGGAGTCCCTGTGAMTCTCCCAGGGACTTCCCTCATGAGTGTACAGTGAGCTTTCCTTCCTTTAAGCATATGTGAGGCATGTAAAGTGCAGCATGAAGCTGACACTGATCTTGATGYAAAGGTTCCTTTTGGTTAAAATGCAGCTGTAGTACTAAAATAAACTTCCAAGTCTTATGAACATACGTAGCTGGACCTTATAATTAAAACCTTTGCAGAAGCACTYTTGTTACCATGGTGGCTTGGTGTAGCTAGATTCCAGCTCTGCTGCTGGCTCTGGAAGACTTGGACAATAAATGCAGCATTGCAGCTTAGGTGTGTATAATCTGCTTGATGGTTATGTGGGTGCTCACAGCTTTTAAAAAGTTGTCTGTGGGCTTGTGTTTTATCCCAGTCATTCCTCTGCCTGCC